TGTATTTTTGGCTATTGCTAAAAATATACCCCAGCGACTTAAGACTGCTTTTGTGCTCCAGGGTCACATATATGGAACGGTACGCATTTAGACATTTGTCATTTTTTATTTATCATTATTATTTATTTATTATTTTATTTCTTTATATAAATGTATTAATTAATTAATTTAAACCAGGAAGCTGAAGAAAAGTTGTATTTATTATTTTATTTATTTATTTAATATTAATTTACAAAATTATTTAAATCTGGAAGCTGAAGAAAAGTTCCTTATGGCATTGTGTGTGTGTGTGTGTGTGTGTGTGTGATTTCCAGGGCTTTTGTTCAGCAGACTTCTGCAGTGATGCATCTCCCAGCTGAGATCGGTGAGTGTGACAATGAAACAGACGGCTTTAACTCTGGGCTGTATTTAATATACAACTCTTGTTTCAACTCTTTTCTTCAATATAGATTTAAAGTTAAAATGACATGCCTTTCTCAACTTCCATTTTTACTTCCATAATCTGATATATTTCAGAATAAAACAGGATATTCATCTAGACAAAATGCACGGTGGGACTTGATTTTATCCATAAAGAATTGATTGGATCATGAGAAGTGGTGTTACATACCAGAATTAAGCCTGGTAACGAAGAGCTGAAAAATAAGAGGGATTTCTGATGACTGCCGAAAAGCAAAGCTGAGGCGGAGCAGGTTATTACATTTTGATGAAAGATTATAAAGACAATTTTTTTTCTTTGGAAAACATGCACTGATGAATAATACATACATCAGCACATTCATGTTGACTTTAAAGCAGTCAATGCTGTCTGAATTTGACTAGTGTCACTAAAACTGTCCTGTAGAGGCAGAAGTCATGGTTCTGTTCCATAATGATCACTAGAGTGCACTGTTCACTAGCTATAGCTGTCGGAGCCATTCACAAACCCTCTCTCATGCCATGAAAGATTACATCCTTCTGTTTGTTGTGCATTATGGGATGTTTTCCTTCGTTTTTTCATTACAGCCCTTTTTCTCTAGTAGGATAGCACAGATAAAAAAAAGGAGTTGTTTCTACTGCATAGACAGCCAACGTTTATTAAAAACTTGTCACCTTTTATTAAATTCTTGTCAGCGTTGAATTACCCTTCTAACTTATGCAGTTATTTTAGCATTTATTATTATTTATAGAATATTTATTATTATATTTTTTGAAAACGTTGGTAATTTTTAATGCTTAATACTCTTGTAAGAAATGTAAGATTAAAGTATAAAAATCTCCCATTGATTTACATTGATAAAACGCTGATCAGATTCAAAATGTATCTGATAATGATTTCATGATATTATTAAATACTGAGTTCTTGATTGGTCTTTCTTGCACAATTTGAGCATATAATTGCATTATGAGCATGCTTAATTAATATATAATAACAGATAGCTGCAGGTGCATGGCCAAGAGGAGTCCCTAAATACAAGTTAAAAATCTAGTGATTCTTGAATGAATGTTTCTTTTGTAAACAAGTTTCTGGATGTGGGAAAGTTGGAAGACCGTGGTTTTCATATTGACTTGATGAAGGAGTTACGGGGATAGTTCATCCCAAAATTTACATTTACTTTTACATCACCAGTCAGAAGTTTGCAATAATAATAATAATAATAATCAGGGCTCTACGCTTATTTTTCTTTTTAGGAGCGCTTGTGCTCCTAACTTAAAAAATGTAGGAGCACAGTCAAAAATGTAGGAGCACCTTCTAATCAATAATCCAAAATTTGATAAAAAATTTGCCTTCCCATTACGAGGTGATATTTGACTCCTTAAAGTGATTTACAGTAGAATTTTGTTTTTACCTTTGTAATGGCATTTTTCTATCTTTATTAAAAGTATGTCATCTTTTATGTCAATTTTTTTTTTAATTATATTTTATAAGCTTTTTAAAAA